ATAATAAGAAGAAGAAGAATAATAATAAGAAGAAGAAGAAGAAGAAGAATAATAAGAAGAAGAAGAGGAGGAGGAGGAGGAGGAGGAGGAGGAGGAGGAGGAGGAGGATTTCCAGGATTTCCGCCATCACGTAGTGATATAAGGCTGAGCTCAGCACTTGGGAAGCAGGTCGCGATCGATTCGATCCAAATACTCGCGCCTGGCCTGGGTGATTAGGTGTGGGCGACATGGATTACCTAAGCCCCTGAGCTGGGCCTGACCGAAAATTCCGCACGACCCACAAAACCATACTCCAAGGTCTTTGTGATACCGAAGGGCGTGTGAGGGATGCGTCCAGCCACCGGCCAAGTGTAAACTTCGTCCAAGGGGGGCTCGGGATAACTTGGCATTCGCGGGCAGGGGAGGGAAGCAAACGCTTTTCAACCATTCGGACTCCGTATTCTTAGAACACGAACTGAAACACACCGAACACGCTCTGCCATTTTCGGTCAGGGTGTGGGCAGAGGCGAAACGGGCCAGGGCAAGAGGAGGAGGAGGCCGAGGGGCAGGGGGACCAGGCGGGGCAAGGGTAGCCCCTTCCTCGGCCTTGACGGCCTGGGAAGCCTGGATCGAATCAAGCCCCGCTCTGAGCAGACGCCTCCTGACAAGTCTCACCTTACGTTCAACTTGAAGCACCCGAAATCTGTCGGTCTCTGGGACCCTGGCCAGCTTAGCTGCAGCTCCAGCCAGCTCGTCTACACATGTGTTGCTTATTATTAGCCAGCTATCCCACCCCCGCTGGACAACTTCTCTGGCTGAGAGGTGGGACGGTACCTGCGTAACTACAATGTCACTCGGCCTTCTACCCTGAACACTGAGGGTGAGACCGATGCTGCGCCACAGATCAGCCTGTGGGCCCTGGGGACAGTCGAACGCGGGGGCGTACCATCCTCGAGCAACTCGGCGCAGTCTGTCACGTAAACTACGGGCCCTGTCGTGAAACGGACCGTCCATTCTAAGGCCTGGAGCTCACCCCTGGGGACCGTTTGGGCCGATCCCACCAGGGGCCCAAAACGGTGCGAGCCCAGCACGCACGGGTCAAAACTCTGAAACGTGGCAACCGCGCACCCTATTCTACGAAGCCTATTGTCGTGGGTATCTCTTCCCCCAGAGGCGTCCCCGAAAATAAAAATCGGCGAGTCCTGAGCCCCGTGGCCGAGACACCCAGGACCGAGACGCCCCTCGGGCAGATTTCCTCCAAAAAGAACTTCTTCCAGAGCAGGGGCGGGCACGCGAGTCCACTCACTGGGGATCACTCCCCTCGTCCAAAAACACGGCCACGCCTCATGTCCTGCCTGGGCCTCAGCGACCAAGCAGTCCGATTGAGCATAGGCGGCTGACCCTTGGTTTTTGCTGCAACGCCAATTGCGATGCAAAGGCGAGTCTGGCACTTCGCCGCATCGCTCGCACAGGTCGGACGTGCTGAGGTTGGCCATGCGCTTGCGGTCCTGAATCCAATATCCGCCCGTGGCGATGGTGACCATCAGCTCTGGCAACTGACGCCCCTTCTTGGCGTGCAGGAGCATCGCGATATATGCGCGGTAGCTCTGCCAGTCTGCTCCCTGCGCCAGGCCGCCTCCACAGAACAAGCCCGCTGCCTCCTGCCAGAGCTGCAAGTACAACGTGTCCTCGAACTCCTGCAAGAGCGGCCGCGCCTGATCCAGGCCAACAAAGGCATCTGTGGAAAACCCCCACGTATGCTCCATGTTGCTCACGTCGCTCGGCACCTGCCACTCCGTCGCAGACTTCAAGTTCCATCCCGCTTGTAACACATACAACACTGCAGAAGACATGGGCCCGCGTACATGGCGACTATGCTGACCTGTAGGAACCTGCTGCAAACCAGACATTGTGCGGGACCACGCTAGTTGGATAGATGGCCGAAGGCGAGGCTCGCGCAACCAGCGTTCCAACCACTGCGTGATGCACAACCTCGGCAGCACCGCACCTGGATCGGCACCAGGGAGACGGAGTGCAAGCAATGAGGTCAGACATCGCCCCCGTTTGTGTGACCCTGCGGCTGCGCCTAACCTCCTCCTGTGACTGAGCATCACAGAGCCAAAGCACCCCAGCACTTGGTGACCATAAGAAGCCGACGCCTGGGGACCCGTCCTCTGGATCATGCGCGTGGTCGTCCACCTCCTCGCAGCAGCCGCGAAACGCCGAAGCCGCTGGTGTGAGGCCCCCGACTTCTTCACCCTTTTGCGCGCCGTGTCCCTTCCATGGCGACGACCCCCCGCTAGGCCGACCCCAAGATAGGCCGCCTGCAGCACAGGTGTGATCTCGATGCCTTTGCGACGCAGCCTCCGCGCCACCTGCGCCGCGCCCCGGTGGGTCGAGCACACTGCCGCACTCTTCGCCGCGATGCCCAGATTGAGCTTCCGAAACTCCTTCACTGTAGTGGAGGCCGCCTTCGCCAGAGTGCCTCGAACATGATCCCTACTGCCCGAAACTCGCTCTAGCAAGCCGTCGATCCAAATCCTCTGCGACATCGACGGGTGAGCAATCGCCAACTTCTCGCATATTACTGCCGTGATGCATTTGGCAAACTTCGTGCCACTGCGCGATCCTTGAATGACCGCCTGCGTGGCCTGAAGGGGCAACGGGTACGAATCCAGCTGGGGCAGCATACGAGGAGCCATGAACAACTGCACCTTCAGGAACAATACCACTGGAGGATACCCTTTCTTGATCGCGCACACCGCTAGGATGGGCCACTCGATGCCGTCGTAGAAGGCCTCCACGTCCAGCAGCGCCTGTCCGTGGGGCACCTGAAGGGAAGTCTGCACCTCGTCCTCCAGCGCCCTCACGTACGCCTCCCTCAAGGCGCTGCTGCCTGCGAGGGCTGCGTCCCAGTAATCATCCTGCTGGTCTGCCCAGCTTCGCACGAGTGGCTCTCGTGCGAGTGATCATGCTCTGTGCAGCATGCCGAGCAGCCCGATGCAACGGTCTCCGCCCGACTTCTTGCCGAGCAGGCGTCCCAGTACGCATAGCACCTGCCACGGCCAGCTGAGGCCCTGCTCTATCATCGTGAACAGCTGCACGAGGTCGCCGATGGCCTGGTCGGGCAGACGGCTGAAGTCCAGAGGGGGCAGCCTGTCCACCCCTTGCCCCGCGCGAGGTTTCATCCTTGCCAGAGCTCCCCTGACCTCCTCGATGGAGAGCGGGACCAACTGCTCAACTTCGGCGTGATCCCGAATCAAATCACATGCACGCATGATATCGTCATGATCGGATACTTTAGACGTCCACAACTGATGCCAACGAGAGATCTTGCAATCCACTATCTCCAACGGATGCACTAGCTTCTTATCGCCGATGTGATACTCGTCCACTTCGGGAGCCAGGTCTTTAATCGACTTATGCACTGCTCCAAGACTTTCCAATGAACCAATCCAACTCTGGCAATCCCGAAGCGACGCCGAGGCTGCACGGTTCTGTGCCTTCCTCGCCGATTTGAACGCCACTTCCTCCATTCGGACAAGTTCGTCTAAACTCAGATCCTGCAAATGTCGAAGAGCCCCAAGATATTGCGCCCAGCTAAGGCCGAGCGAGCCTGCAAAACTGACTCCTGCTCCGTCCAGCGGCTGGTCCGCCAGACCAAGGGCAGCTCGAGAAAGACCAGCCATTTGCATGATGCCGTTGCTGCGCCGACGATGTCGGCACGCCTGCTTGATAAGTGTATGCCCTCTGCACCACCAGGCTGCCACTCCATCTCGAAGAGGTTGAGACCTGACGCGTTCGGGCTCCCTGACTGGGCCGACGACCAGCCGGGCGCCGTTGGCCCGTGATTGCGTCGGAGCCGTCCCGCCGTGGTGGGCCGCGATCGTGCGCTCAGCCGTGGACGCCCATCGGGCGAAACCGCTGCTGATGGGCAGGATGTGGCGCTGCCCAGCCGAGAGAGCGAGGGGTCGTCTGATGGGGTTCCAGACGTCCTCAAGGGAGTGTGAGTGCCAAGAAGCTTGGGCCGAGGCGTCTCCCCAGGTGGAGGAGGGGGCGGCGAGCGGGGGGAGAGAGGGCGCAGCCGCGTCGGCAGTCGAGGGCGGATCAAGCTGCTCGTCAGCCATGCTGGCGCCCGAGCCCCCTGGGCGCTCGACGGGGGGGACCGCCGAAACATCCCTCCGAACTTTGCCAATTGAACACTCATGCGCTGACAAAAAGCTTTCTTGCTGCTCGAGCTCGCCTGTTTGCTCGGCGGGGCTACCTAGATCGCCTGCATTCTGAAAACAAGCCGGCCGAAAACGCGATTCAGACGCCCACGGGTCCTCCTCTTCCTCCCCCAAGGCCTCGAAATCGACCATGTCCCCGAAATCGTCCGAGCCACTTCTGGGCTCAGCCACAGACGAGGAGATCGAGCCCTCGGGGGGTTCGGGGCCTTCCTGAGCGGGTTCGCCTGAGGGGCCAGCTTTTGAAACAAAAATGTCTGAAAAAGCTCGTCGCAGTCGGCGCGGACCCTTTCTTGTGCAAGTTGGGGTCGGACCTGCTGCTCCGCGCGCGCCTTGCTTGCCTTCGACCCAGCCACAGGACTGATGCGCGGGCGCGGGACCTGCGGCAGGCGCGGTGCGGTGACGAGAGAACGCTGCAGTAACTGCTCACCAGATCCGTGAAGGGTGAGCTCGAGGCCTACATGAGGCCCCCAGGGGACGTCAGACCTAGCTTCGAGAGATTTATTATAAGGCAAAGCGCTCTCTGACGACATCACAACATCGATATGGGAACTACCTGCACTCCCGACGCAAGTGTAGTCAACCTTCGATTGCCTGATGTGACCGCCTACGCGCCTGACAAAACTGGACTGATGGAGCGTGTCGACTCCAATATTGAAGTCTCATATCACGATCCATGGCAAATGTGACATCTGAAGCAAGGCCCCTAATGTTCCAAACCGCTGTGTGTTGTCACCCCAAAATCCTTGCGAGGGGTGCGCATAAAAAAGAATCAAGACTATAGAGTAGCCTTGGCAGCGCACCACTGACGGCATGCAGCCGTCGAAGGTGTCAGCACCGTCCGCACAGAGCGACGTCGCTTCGGACGCCTTGCCAAAGAGACGGTGCACATTGCGATGGCCTGGTGCCCAGGGCGCCTCACCTCCTTCGTTGGCTCTCTGAACTCTGGCCGCACTCGTGCCCTTCCCCGTGCTCCGAGCCATGTTATCTAAGAACTTCCACTTGCACTGCCGAGACTTCTTCGCCCACTGCGTACGAGTATGGCACCCCGAATGCGTCTCGACTGCACCGATGAGGTCGCATCTGGACATGGTCTCTTCGGAGCTGAGGAAGGGGCAAGACTTCTTCCCCAAGCATGTGATGTTGCCGAAGAACATCCTGACCACTGAACTCCCTGGCGACTCTGAGGTTGACGAAGGCGCTCCGTCTGTCGCCACTGCACTCGACGTACCACCTGACGACTCCGATGAGGTAGATGGACAGGGAGCAGCCGCCGCTAAAACTGCTTCCTGCCTTGGCGACTCCGAAGATGAGGAAGGCTGCGCCGCCGCTAGAACGCCGCCTCCCCGCCCTGCTCGTCACTGAGCAACTTTGCTAGCAGCGTCAGCCGCCGCCTGCCCCGCTGCAGTGGCTGCCCTGATCCTGGCCATCTCTGCCTCGATCTCCGCCTCAGACGGGCCGCCTGCCGCTGCTGCCGTCGCCGAGGCGCCTGGGCCTTCGCCCGCGCCGCCCGCGGCCGCCGCGCCTGCATGTGCAGCCCCTCCCCCTGGGACGGGAGCGGCCGCCTCGCCGCCTGCGGGAACCCCGCTCCCTGGCGGCGCTGCGAGCGCGGCGCCTGGCTCCTCAGCGACCCCACAGCGCCTCTTCTTCTTGATGCGCTCCGTGACCTGCTTCTTCAAGGACTCGACGTTGCCCCTCCACTTGGTGATCTCCTCGGCCTTGTTGAGCACCGACTGCTGCACCGCCTTCAACTCTTCTTCAACTTTGCGCAGCTCTTGCCGTTCTTCATTGCTGCACTCGAGATCGTCCAGCTGCTGAAAGAACTCTGCGTCCCACGTGAGGTTGAACATCGGCTCGGCCTTGGCTGGCGTCGTCTCGGTGACCGCGCCCGTCTCCTTAGCCAAGGCCTGTGCTGCACCTCGGCGGTTGATCTTCGCCAGGGCCAGCGCGCGGGCCGCCTCCGACTCCTTCTCCCTCGCAGCACTCAGGTTCAGCTCCAGGCGCTTCACCTGCTGCGCAGCCTGCGTGTACTTCGCGCTGGCATCTCGCCAGGCCCCAGCCGCGCGGCGCACCGCCTCCTCAGCCGCGAGAGGCTTGCCTGCCGCCGCCGCCGCCTGCTGGGACTGCTTCAGCTGCTCCTCGAGGATCTGCCTCACCTTGGGGTCCTTCACCACCGCCAGGGCGCCCGACAGCGCGACCACCGTCTGCTGCGTGGAGGTGGTCTCGGTGCCTGCGCTCCCTTTGGGCGGCCTGGCCTCGAGCTCGAGCTGAGTGTCCTTGCCTTTGCCCTTGCCCTTGCTCTTCTCTCCCTTAGGGACGTAGAGCTTCACGGGCCTGTGACAGATGCGGCATTTGCATTCGTTGGCCATGAGCTTGGTGTTGAACTCATGCGCGCCGCACCCCGCACACGTGCTCCAAGGGTTCGTTATGGCCCTGGGATCGTGTGCTGTGTCCCCACTTTCGTCGACGGGATCTGCTGCGCTCTGGCGCGCGGACGACCCGCCGTCCCCCAAGTACCACGTGGAGGCGTGGGGCTGGCCGAGTGCGAATCCAAAATGGTGCGCTCGTGCCAGAATGCTAGAGAAGGAGGAGGAGGAGGAGGAGGAGGAGGAGGAGGAGGAGGAGGAGGAGGAGGAGGAGGAGGAGGGAGGCGGAGGGCGGAGGAGGGAGGGAGGAGGAAGGAGGAGGAGGAGGAGGAGGGAGGGAGGAGGAGGAGGAGGAGGAGGAGGAGGAGGAGGAGGAGGAGAGGAGGAGGAGGAGGAGGAGGAGGAGGAGGAGGAGGAGGTGAGGAGGAGGAGGAGGAGGAGGAGGAGGAGGAGGAGAAGGAGGAGCAGGAGGAGGAGGAGGAGGAGGAGGAACAGGAGGAGGCGGAGGAGGAGGAGGAGGAGGAGGAGGAGGAGGAAGAGGAGGACGAGGAGGAGGAGACTGCGGGGGGCCTTTGGGCGGAGCGCGGCCTCGTCGGAGCCAGTTGTTGCTCCTCTGCCTCGCTCCCGTCGGCCTCGCTCCCCTCCGAGTCTTGCTGGCCATCTCGCCGCCAGGGTGTTCCTTCCTCCTCCCCTCCTCCTTCCGTCCGCGGCGCCGAGGCCAGGGTTTTTTTCGCAGCGTGGCACCGGCGAGGCCAGCGCGGCCTCCTCCGCGTCCGGCACTAGCGCGTCCGCGACCAGCGGAGCGCGTCGGGCTCCTCTTGTCCTCGTTGCTTCCCGCCCTCTCCTCCGTCTCTCTTCCTCCTTCTGCGGGAAGGGGTTCCGAACCCCAGGGCTTTCCCCAGGGCCCCGAGCCCCAGGGCTTTCCCCAGGGCTATCCCCAGGGCTATCCCCAGGGCTTTCCCCAGGGCTTTCCCCAGGGCGTTCCCCAGGGCTTTCCTCAGGGTTCCTTCCGAGGGAAGCGGGTCCCGAACCCCAGGGCTGTCCCCAGGGAGCAGCCCTTCACCGCGAGACGTTTCCGGACGGGCTCCCCGGGTCCAGGGATGAGCCCTCGAGAGGTTGGAAATTGGTAAAGCATCAGGGCACTCCTCTTCCTCCTCCTCCTCCTCCTCCTCGTTCTCCTCCTCCTCCTCCTCCTCGTTCTCCTCCTCCTCCTTCCCCTCCTCGTCGTCCTCCTCATCCCGATCCTTTTCCTCTCCCTCATCATCATCCTCTTCCTCCTTTTCCTCTCCCTCATCATCATCCTCTTCCTCCGACATCCTCCTCCTCCTACTTCTCCTCTTCCTCCCCCTCCACGTGCTGACTCCGCGATTCCGCCACCTGTCCAACTTTGGGAACCAGTGTCCACGAGTGTCAGGCGTATCGGCCGGCCGTCCACCCCGCGCCAGTTGTGTACGCTGCCCGTGGAGATTCGAGCTCAGTGGGTGGGGAAGGTGAGCATTTCTGATGTTGGTTCGCGGTTAGGGCCTGTTGGAACATCCTACGGGTTAGATGTCCTTGAACCTCTGTATGATCTCGGAGAAACACCCAATCATAATCTTTGTAGGGCTTATGGCTATGGGGCTATAGGGCTATAGGACCATAGGGCTATAAAAGGGCTATAGGGCTGTAGGGCGATAGGGCGATAGGGCGATTGGGCTATAGGGCTATAGGGCTATAGGGCTATAGGGCCACAGTGCTATAGGTCTATTGGGCTATAAGGCTACTAGGGCTATAGTGCTATAAAACTATAGGGCTATAGGGCTATAGGGCTATTCGGACTATAATGTTATAGGGTTATGGATAGGGCTGTAGGGCTATAGGGCTATAGGGCTATAGGGCTATATGGCTATATTGCTATTAGGGCTACAGGGCTATAAGGCTATAGGGCTATAGGGCTATAGGGCTATTCGGACTATAATGTTATAGGGTTATGGATAGGGCTGTAGGGCTACAGGGCTATAGGGCTATAGGGCTATATGGCTATATTGCTATTAGGGCTACAGGGCTATAAGGCTATAGGGCTATAGCGCTATAGGGCTATTCGGACTATAATGCTATCGGGCTATGGATAGGGCTGTAGGGCTATAGGGCTATAGGGCTATAGGGCTATCGGAGGTGAGGGGGTGAGATCGAAGTGGAACGGAGAGGCCCCCTACCGGGAAATCGATTTCGGTTTCGTGTTCGTGCGTGCCGTGCGTGCGGGCGAGGCGAAGCTGCGTGGGCGGGCGAGAGAAAGTCTCCTGTGGCTGAGGCGCGGCCGGACCAAATGTCTCCCTTCCGGGCGGCTGGTGGCCCGCGGTGTCCCGCCGGTGTCCCGTGAAAGTCCCGTGTTGCTGAGGCGCGGCCCAAATGATTCCTTTCCGGGCGGCCGGTGGCCCGCGGTGTCCCGCCGGTGTCCCGCGAAAGTCCCGCGGTGTCCCGCGGTGCCCCGCGGTGTCCCGCCGGTGTCCCGCGGTGTCCCGCGATGATGATGATGATGATGATGATGATGATGATGATGATGATGATGATGATGATGATGATGATGATGATGATGATGATGATGATGATGATGATGATGATGATGATGATGATGTGATGATGATGATGATGATGATGATGATGATGATGATGATGATGATGATGATGATGATGATGCTGATGATGATGATGATGATGATGATGATGATGATGATGATGATGATGATGATGATGATGATGATGATGATGATGATGATGATGATGATGATGATGATGATGATGATGATGATGATGATGACGATGGTGATGCTGATGATGATGATGCTGCTGATGATGATGACGATGATGATGATGCTGATGATGATGATGATGATGATGATGATGATGATGATGGTGTCCCGATGATGATGATGATGATGATGATGATGATGATGATGATGATGATGATGATGATCGATGATGATGATGATGATGACGATGATGATGATGATGATGGATGGTGTCCCGATGATGAGGATGATGATGATCATGATGATTATGTTGATGATCATGATGATGACGATGATGGTGTCCCGATGGTGATGAGTATGATGATGTTGATGTTGATGATGCTGATGATGATTGTGTCCCGATGATGATGATGATGTTGATGATGATGAGGTTGATGATGATTATGGCGTCCCGATGATGATGATTATTCTGATGGTGATTGTGATGATGTTGATGATGATGGCGTCCCGATGGTGATGATGATGATGATGATGATGTTGATGCTGATGTTGTTAATGATGATGATGGTGCCCCGATGATGACGACGATGATGATGATGTGATGATGATGTTGATGATGCTGATGATGATGATGATGATGATGTCGATGATGAGGATGAGATGATGATGATGGTGTTCCGATGATGATGATGATGATGATGATGCTAACGATGGTGATCATGATGGTGTCCCGATGATGATGCTGCTGATGATGATGATGATGACGATGACTGTGTCCCGATGCTATGATGATGATGATGATGATGATGATGATGATGATGATGATGATGATGATGATGGTGATGATGTTGATGATGATGATGACGGTGTCCCGATTATGATGATGTTGGTGATGATGATGTTGATGTTGATGTTGTTGTTGATGATGATGATGACGTTGATTGTGAGAGCGGTTGTGATATCGATAGTGAAATCGATAGTGAGACCGAATGTGATATCGATTGTGAGATCGATTGTGAGATCGATTGTGAGATCGATAGTCAAATCAATTGTGAGACAGATCGAGTGAGATCGATTGTGAGATCGATCGAGGGAGAACGATCGAGCGAGACCGATACTGAGATCGATAGTGAGATCGATAGTGAGACCGATCGATTGAGACCAACACCCTTAGGCCAACGCGGGGCGGGCGGGATTCGGGACGGTGTGTGTGTGTGTGTGTGTCTGTGTGTAGTCCGTTCATATCACCGTTTTATCTATCTATCCCGATATCCTGTCGGCTCAGCTATTGGACGGCATGCGCGCCCCCGCTTCCGCGGGCGCACAGGGGAAGGATATTCCTCTTCCGTCCCAGTCGTCGTGTACCTACGGACCATGCGGTAGGTTCGTCTCTTTGGTTTGGTTGTCAACTTCCGTTCGCAGGGTGCGTGTGTGTGTGTGTGTGTGTGTGTGTGTGTGAGTCCGATTGGGTTTATCATCGGACCGCCCAAAACAGATGGCCCCCAACCGCCGGCAGCTTCCCAATATTGTCAATGGTTGGGGCATGCGGGGGGTATGTGTTTGCCGCGGTCCGGTGCGCCAGCGGATCGTTTTCGTGCCCCCCCATCAGGGTCACCCCCGCTTTGGTGGATCCCGACAGCAGGCGGCCGGGGAAACGGCCCGCGTGGCCGTAAATTCTGCCCGGGAAGGTTGCGCAATTGACCCACGAGCTCTTGAAACGCTCGAGTAGCCGTCCGAAGGAGCGCCCAAGAGGCCCATCTGTTCAGAAACCGTTAATGTTCTCCCGTTTCTGGAATAATTTTGGCATTTCCGCATGCTCGGTCTTGAGAGCGTCCGACACAGCCCTTGAGGCCCCCCAAATCGCCCCAAGACGGCCCAACAGTGTCCCGCGATAGTCCCCAGCTGGCCCTAGCACTGTCCAGGAAGGGCCCGAAGCAGCCCAAATGGATCCCAGGACGGCCCAACAGCACACCAACGCGGCCTCGGTCTGCCTCAGACGGCCCAAGGGGACCCCCCCCCCCCGGACACCATGGGTCCCGGATTTCTCTGGCCTGGATCGGTGTTGGTGGTTACTCGACGATGACAGTAATTAAGCACATAATGTAAGCCAATACGAGTATGCAAGCTTTGGCGATGACGACGATGGTGACGACGACGATTTTGAGAAAGCAGTGGCGATGACTAACGACGAGTACGATGTTGACGATTGTAATGGTGATGCTTCTGTTGCTGCTGTTGATGATGGTACATGTGATAATGCTGATTATTAGGACGATGACAATGATGATGATACCGACGAGTGGTGGTGATGATTGTGGTGATGATGATGATGATGATGCTGATGGTCATTATGATGACGTTGCTGCTGATGCTGATGATGATGAAGATGGTGTGATGATGATGACGATGGCGATGGTTGTGATGATGATGAAAGCAATGATGATGCTGTTGATGATGGTGGCGACCATGACGATGATACTGATCATGATGATGATTATTATGATTATGATGATGGTGATGATAATGATGATGCTGGTGATAATGCTGCTGCTGATGATGATGATCCTGACGATGATAATGGTGATGGTGGTGATGATGGTTGTGGTGATGGTGATGGTGATGGTGATGGTGATGATGCTCATGATGATGATTGTGGTGGTGGTGGTGATGATGATGATGATGATGCTGGTGGTGGTGGTGGTAATGCTGATGGTGGTGGTGCTGCTGCTAGTGATGATTATGATGGTTGTGGCGCTGATGATGGTGATGGTGATGGTGGTGATGACGGTGATGACGGTGATGATGATGATGATGATGATGATGATGATGATGATGATGATGATGATGATGATGATGGTGATGATGATGGTGATGATGATGGTCATAAGGAGGATGATGCTGATGCTGATGATGATGATGATGATGCTGATGCAAATGCTGCTGGTGATTATGCTGATGATGATGAATTTGGTGGTGATGATGATGATGACGACGATGATTATGATGATGATGATGATGATGATGGCGACGACGCCGCTGACGATGGTAATCATCACGATGATGGTGATGATTATCAGAAGGAGGACGAACACGAATATGATAACAGTGTTGATGATGAGTACGGGGTCCCTGTTAAAGCCTTGCCTACTTCCCGGACGCCCAGGGCACGCTGGTAGTACCGCCCTTGTGGAGGAGTGGTT